CCAGAATTATTGATATTGTATTCTCATTCCCTCGACAGAGTACTAAGATTTATCAAGGAGTCTAGAAAGTTTGCTGAGAAGCAATGATTTCTCACCTTTTTGTTCTTTCTTTGGGCCTTAAGTGCAGTGAGCAGCTAAGCTTGGCAACTGGATCTTGAGCTGAGACGCGTAAATCACGATTTACGTTCCCTGCCAATAGCCTCACAGTAAATGCAAGGAATAATTATGTATTAACTACAATGCCAAAATATCGACATATTTATAAAGAATCTTCAACTCTAGTTTGTAAGTTTATGCCCTAATAAAATCAATTCTTCAATTCAATTTTCATTAAGCATTTAGGAGGAAAGTGTTATAATTCCACAACACAATACATTGACTACATAAAAAAAAAACAAAAAAATGAATGACTTATGTAGGTTACAAATCGCTCGTTTATTAAGCACAGTCGCTGGCCTTAGCCCGCCACTATTTCCTGTTCCCAAATATGAAGAAATTATGCGGAGTAAAGAGTTTAGGGTTTATGAAAACGGCAACGATGAAAACATTTCTACAATTTAAACAGAAAATTTTGATAAAAAACTTATTTTTGCCAGTTCTGAGCATTCCGTGTTACATTTGTGCCTGATAAACATACAATTTTTTTTTTTGGATTGATATTGTTTTCCGCTTATACATACATACATACATACATACATATGTACTAGGAATGTTAATCCCGGGATCCAAGCCTTTTTTAAATTGTATTTATTTTTTTAATTCTAAAGAAATTTCCTCTTGCCAAATACCCATATTTTTACTCTACATTGCATTGAATTTTTTAAATAATTTTTGGTATTAATCATATATCTTTGAGATAACAAAGTCCTTCAAAATAAATCCTGACGTCAGAGAGAAAAAGCAAAAAATGTATTATTTATTTTATAATTATTTATTTTATAATAGGAGAGATAGAAGCAATTTTTTCGATTTTGGTTATTGAAAAGTAATGAATATCCCGGGATTGTGATAATGACATCCCGAAAATCCCGATAAAACATAAAAAGCGAATAATTAACATCCCTAATATGTACGTCATACTTTTGCTGAGTTCATTGCATTGTTAAAAGAATTAAAAAAATTATCTTATACTAATTCCTTTGTAAAAATTCTGCATTGCTTGACAATTGAGAAACCCAAGAAAATCTGCAAACTTTTATTAAACTGTCAAGAATTCGTAAGAAATATGCACTGAAGTTTATAGTTTACACTTTCCAGTGCCGCTTGGAGTCGGTCTGAATTTGTAAGTCCCTCCTTTGGGGAGATATAGGCAGGTATTTTTTCTTTTTCATTCCAAATCAAAATTTCTAAAAAATTCAAAGTTATTTAAATTTACTAGTCGAATGAAAAATAATTAATTAACTGAATAGGTTGAACAGTTTTAAGTTTAGATGAGATTAGGGTTAAGTTAAAGTGATTCCCCAGGCAAGAGGCATACTTGGACCATAAAACGGCTATTCTGTATGATACTATTTATCCTTGAACCAGCCAATGCTTTCGCCAAGCAACTTTTTTAATGTAAAATTTCAAATATTTTGAGGTTCAGTAGGCAATGTCGTATGTTATTGGTTCAGCTATCATTGGTGGGGCAAATTATAAAATTGGTTGGGCACTTATTGAAACTTTTCAAGCAAATATTAAAAAAGGGGTTTCCATTACATAGTATCTGAAAAGTGCGGGATTCGAAAAATTTAAAATTACATATTTTCAGAAATATAGACCACTGTGATTTGCACTAAAGCATACATTTTTTATTTATATTTAACAATTTCATACATCGCAACTACGTTCAAAAGAGGCACAACTCAAAAACAAAAGCTTGGCCAAGTTTTTGCATAAAACAATTCGTGGTATTTATTTTTCTTTCCTTCTTGCTTATTTCATCTAACTATAAAACTACTGTCATACAAATCAGTACTCTGTTCACGAGCTGGAAAGGCTCAAAACAAGTTGGCAACATGATGCTAGCAACATATTTTCACGAAAAAAAGTGTCGGTAAATAAATTTTGAACATTGCAATACATGTTGAAAACCGTCAATTTTTGTCAACACTAATGAGTTTTCACATTCACACGTTCACAATTTAATTGACGTCAAAATTTCACGTGAAAATAATGCATGTTGCTAACAAAATTTTACGGCGCTGAACAAAATACATACTAACCTTAACGGCTGGATATTAAATATTTCGATATACAAAATTTTAGAGTTAAACAAATCTCGAATGCAAAGCTCCCAATTTATTTACGAAAAACAATTTTTACGGATGTATTTATTAAGCAATTCTAAGTTCTAAAATGAATGCTAGAATATTTTGATTTTTTTTTTTTGTTATTAAATTATAAGTCATACATTTTCCACAATATTTTTTATTCTTTCACTTCAACAGAATTTTTACCCACAATTATGTATGCTGAAGGACATTTTGGCCTTTTCTTCTCCAGTTTTGCATTGATCCTAAAAAGTAATACCTAGTTTTACTTGAAATAAAAAGGTATTCAAGACTTGGCTAGTAGGAAAAGGTTGTCTTATAAAGTTTTTTTATCAATTGTTGTCGAAGCTAGGCCTGCCAACTTTGATCCAAGTGCAATTTTTGACACTATTTTACTTCAAATGGCACTTCATTTTTCACAAAATTCTCAAAATAATAATACTTCTATAGTGTAATTCTTTTTCTCAACTAAAATTTTCTAGTTTCTAAAGGTAGAATTTCAACGATTTTTTTCAATTAAGTTGGTGGTCGCAGAGCGGCTTTTAAAACAAATTAAATTAGTTTAAATTAAAGTTTTGGGTCCGAGGAATCTGAATCTGCAATTCATTCTTACCAGAAACGGCCGCTGGGAGATATTTGGTGGGTTTTGATGCAAAAAAAACACACGAAGGAACACTGTTTAGAAACATTGTTGAGAAACATTGTTTGAACTTTTTCTTTATGTTCCTTCCATGTGTTTTGCAGCACAGTGCATCTAGCGGCCATTTTTGGCAAAAATAAATTTGCAAATTCAGATCCATCGGACAATAAAACCCCTAGAAATGTCTTTTGATGGTATAAATATTTACATTTAAATTACTTTTGACTGTTTTAAATGCTGCACCTACTTCAACTTTCTACTTCAAATTGGAAAAAGCGCTTAAAATCGCCAACTTGGGAAAACTGAGAAATAACTTTTCTATATGCAACTCAGACCTTCAGAAAAAATTTGTTTCATCAATACTTAAAATCGTCAAGGATATTTTTTTTTATTTTGTTACCCGTTTTGATGGTGAAAAAATAGCTAAATCAAGTTTAGACAATTTGAAAAAGCATGGAAAACTAAAGTAAAACTCCGAAAGCTTCATACAAAACTTCGCCACTCTTTGGGACTAATGTGTCTCTTGGTACTGAAAAAGGTAAAATTGTATCACGAAAACTCCAAAAAATACATATATATATATACGTATATCGTTATGCACATATTTAGAGTCTGGTATTCTTGATAATTTTAATACGTATCTATTTTATGCACTTTTTAATTTTTTTTTTACTTTATAAAAAATTTTATTTATTTAATTTTGAATTTTTTTTTTATATTCGGTTCTCCTTTATTCTTTAGTTGTTTTCTTTTTTAATGTTTTTATTATTTCTTATGTTTATCATTTTTTTTTTAATTTTTGCACACTTTCTCGTGTCCAGATATCTGGATGAGTCAATTATTATTACATAAACGTCTTTTTCTTGCCAAAATTAATTTGAAAATCAACGCTAAAAGTCGTCAACACACAGCACAGTAAATATATAGGTACATACTTATGTACATACATATGTACAGTATCAACATTTGCATATATTGCATACATTCATATGTATGTATGTACAACTCAAAAGGAAGCTCCGCACACGATTTCAGAAACCAAAAACAAAAACCAAACGTAAAATTTCGGTTTCGAAGTGAATCTTTTACTGAAAAACATTTAAACAAGCCGCTAAAAATAGACACATTCGTACGTAGGCAAGTGAGAATTAGTCAGCGGCGAGGCAACAGATCGCAGATTGTATAGATAGCTATAGAGCTAATGTTCATATGTATGTATGTATGTAGATATATATTTTTGTAGCATCCGATCTGTAGCCTACACACGAGCACATATGTATATATAGTGTATAACGTATCTGTGTTTGTTTAGTGAACACTGCACCGATCTGTGGAGCTCGACACCTATAAGGCGAGATGAGGTCAGACGTGCCGAGTTCGCTGAATTGTTTGCACTTTTGAAAATATACATTCATTTCAATATGTACATATGTATGTTTATAAATAAATATTTATTTTGCTTAAAGCTAATTTTTGCACTTTCGTTCGCACTAAATTTGCTTAATGAAGACTTTAAAAAAAATATGTACGTATGTATTGTAAAAAACTGCTGCATTGCTTCATTAAGCTTATTGCTATTTTTAAAAAGTTGGAGGATATGTATATGTATTTTTGTTGTGATTTGTATTTTTTTTGTTTGTTTTCGAATCTCTTTTTGATTTATTTGATCAGATTTATTTAGGGTAATTCACTATATTTAACGGTATTTCATACACATTATTTACACATCTGTGGCACAGGGCTGGCTGCCTATGTCTGTACTTGTGTAGATGTATTAAAAGAAAGCAAAAAAAATCTCGATTTATAAATAAATTTCCGAATCGACACTGCACGAACCGCTCCAGTACAGCGCAGCAAAGCACAGCACAGCACAGCACAGATATTTTGAAACTTTTCGAAAAATGCTTCGTTCTATTCACTTTCGTTGTACCTTTGGCGCGTCAGATGCGCGTTTGCCAATGATTTGAATATTTATATGCATACATATGTATGTGTGTATATATTTCTATATACTCTCTGTACTGTATCTGAAGGTTAAATTTAAATAGTTTTAAGTTCTCGCTCTTTTACACAACACACAAATGCACTATGTGTCTATTAATTAATACCTTCTACAAAAATTTCAAATTCAAAAACTAACTTATTCGTATTGTGCGCGTTTTCGAGCGTTTCTTCTATTTTTCTATGTACTTCTTTACTGATCGGACCGACCGCCGTGAGACTTCAACACCAACTGAAACATTCTCCAATCGCACATAAACTTGGAAGCAGCAATCAACGTTTGCTGTCCACGTCGACGTAGACGTTGGCTCACTCACTCAAACGCACACATGCACAGGCACGTGCATACAATTGCATGTGTGTGCGACGCTACTGCGAGACGGCGCTGCCCTGCAGAAAAAGAAAAATTATCAATTGATAAATAATAACCAACTTGT